AATTTCAGCAGAGCAAATTGAGAGTGTACTAAAGAGGAACGTGTTGATCTGACAGTTTTCTGATTACAAAATTTACGTTTTCTGGCTAGCTTACAGTATCTCATACTAGAATCAAGAAAAGTCTGAGAAAATAACAGAAATTCATATTCAATATCTGAATATAGTAGACTTGGAAAAAGGAAAATCTTTACTGTGTTTAAAAATAGTGCTAATATCAGCATTTTGGAGCATATGGAATGTATTAAATACTTTTCTAAGAGCTTTGCTTGTATAATTTGATATAACATTCATGAAAATCCTGTGATATAAATAACATTATCTTTATTTTACAGCTTGAGACTCAGAGGTTTGGAATTTGAGTAGTTTAGGCTTATGTATTTGGTTAGCAGGCAAGAACCCAGAGTTACACATAGATATCTAAAGACAAAAGTCGTATTCCTAAACAGTCCTCATGATGCATGAACAGAGAGGGTGAAAATTAAGCAAATGAGAGGGAAAAATCTGTCCAAGTATAAAAACAGAGTAACCGGGGCCTGTGAGATGGTTAATGGTTAAGGCAGGCACTGCTCTTGCACAAGACTAGAGGTCAGTTACAAGCACCTATAACACACCAACTTGCAACTCCAAATTTAGGGGAGTCTTATGCCTGCCTCTAATGTCCCAGACTCTCACACACATGAACACTTGTACACATAATTAAAACTTATTTTAAAAATAAATGTTAAAAATAATAACAACATCCCCCATAGCTACAGATACAGACACAGAACCTTTGTGGTATAGAATATCTCATCTCTCTTCACAGTGCTGTCAGCAAACTTCTTCTGGAATGCCTGTCCAATTTCTTCCTCATTTTGGTAAAAATAAGCTGAATCAATATGGCAGTACCTGGTATCAATTGCTATCTGGACGGCCTCTTCTACTTTACTCTTAAGAACCTAGAAAAATATAAAAAGATAGAGGTGCTTCTTTCAATAAGCAGAGCCTTGGCAACATAAAATACTGTCTTTCCAAAACATGACTAGAGCTGGCCAAAATAAGTGTTGAGATATATAGCCAGGGTCAAATGTTTAATAAATAACTGATAAAGAAAGGGAGTCATTGTTGGTACTGTTTGTTCATTCCTATGGTATAAATATTTCTATTACAGCAAATTTCAAACCTCCAAAAATTGACAAAGATTCTCACAGTGAATGTTTGAGCCTATGAAAGCTGGACCCAGGACATCTCTGGATTTAACCCTGAATTTACATGACTTATATGTACATATGTATTCTATAAACTTACACCCCTAAATTAACTCCCCTTATAAGTTATTAAGCTTGTTGAAATACACATAATAAAGCTTATCATTATCTATCAATGCAATGAAGTAAATTTAGGCAGAATAAATTAGTAATATACCTATCTAAACTAAGAGAATCATTTAAAATAGTATTTTAAGAAAGTCAAAATGTAAAACAAAATAAGTTATTTTCACTAAAAATTTCTTAGGTATCTTAGGATCGTTTTGTGTTATCCCAAATTTGGTCCTTATGTGACACTTTCTTCCTTGAAACTGTGACATTTTTCATTACTGCCTACTATTCTGCTGACTCACCAGGCTGGACTCCTGAACTGACCCATAAATTTTTCTCTAGCCATTATCCTTCCTCTCTCTCTCTCTCTCTCTCTCTCTCTCTCTCTCTCTCTCTCTCTCTCTCTCATTAAATAACTCAGGCTTTTTATTCATTTCTCTCTCCTAATGAGTTAACCAACCGAGGAGGTCTAGCTTACTGTCCCCAGTTTCAGGACCCTAGACAAAAGTAGCATGCAATGCCAGTCCAGTCCCTTTGTTTGTGGTCTCTAATTTCATACATACGATGCCCTTATCAGAGACCCAAAACTATCACTTCCCTTCTTCCACATGAACCACTACTATGTGCCCTGTATGTTTAAAGTGTTTGACCCAGAAACATGTCCAGAGGTCAATCTTATTATTATTATTTCTTTAATGTATTATTTATTAACTTATTTATTTATTTAATTTATTATGTATATGAGTGTTTTCAGTGCATGTATGTCAATGATCCACACCCATGAAATGCCTGAAGAGGCCCAAGGAGCACATAAAATCCCCTGAAACTGGAGCTACAGAGAGCTACTAGTTTTCATGTGGGTGCTTGGAACCAGACCTAGGTCCTGTGCAAGAGTAGACATTTATGGCTCTCATCCACTCTGGAGCCATCTCTCCAGACCCAGTTTCATTTGTTCTAAAGTACAAATGATCATAGATGCACAGTAAGTAAGATTAACACAAACCGACTTATCCACACTGGAATTGCTGAAAGATGAACATGATTTTACGTCCCTTGATATAGTGGTATTCCAATTGTGATCTTTGGGTAAGCACTATTAGAATCAGTTGGTAGCTCATTATTTTGCCAGTTTTATAAATAAGCCTTATACCAGACTTATTCACATCCACTGGAGTTAAAGTCTTGAAATGTACGTCTCTTACTAAGAGCATTGATTTCATATATCTTTTAAAATTTGAAAAACACTGGCAATATACAAGGTAACAGCATGGAGTAAAGTGTCAATAGAAAAAGAGTATGAGGAACACCTGAATTTCTCAGACTGCTGATTGGTAGCAGTCAGGAACCATATCTACTCTCCATCCATCCCTGATATATGACAGTTACCTCCATAGGAGCAGAGGTGCCCAGTCCCAGTACAGGCATGAAATGTCCATCATTCAGTTTTACAGAAAGATGATTGCTATTTCTCATTTTCATTCACCCTTCTGGAAAGACACAGCAAGTACCTTCTTTGTTAATAGAACCCTGTAGAAGGAAAAGTATGGCACAATTGTTATGGTTTAACAAAGGTCTTAATGAGTTGTATTTCAAGTAGCATAAAATTACGTACTTTAAAATACACAGTTCAGCAGCTTTTAGCATAGTCATAGAAAACCTGGATGTTTTTTCCCTAACTATCCTGCCCTGTATATTTAAAAGTGGATACATAGGTATATACAGTTAAATGAAAGAAAAAATGAACAGCTGAATTTTATCATGTCAGCATAAGTTTGATAACAAAATTTGTTGAGTGATCTAGAGAGAAAAATACAGCTCAGTTACATTTATTAAATTAGATGCATGAATATAAATTAACTATTAGCTACAAGTATCCATTATTATGTCCAATAATAAAATGTTAACTTTGTAAGGGGAGTTTCAGTAAAATGTTCCTTTTTAGCATCATAAAATCTAGTAATACAATTTTCAGATCAATGATTTAAAAGAATAAAGACATAAAATCATACCTATCTTACTTAATAAATCTTATACAAATAAAAATAAAATATAAAGAGAAGGAATTGTTGTTGTTGTTGTTGTTGTTGTTGTTGTCTTTTTGAGTCAGGGTCTCTTTGTAGCCCCAGCTGGCCTTGAACTCATTATGTAGACCAGGATGGCTCTGTCTCTCAGTACTGGGACTAAAGGCATGCATCACCACACCTGACTTAGAAGGAATTTTAAAAATAAGAATAAATTTGATTGACAAAACTAATTTTCTTATGTGGCACAAAACAAACTTTAACATACACAAAAGAAAATTGGAATAATTCTATGAATTCTATCAGGCCACAATGCAATAAAGCTTAAAAAAGTCAAAACTAGCTGGGCGTGGTAGCGCATGCCTTTAGTCCCAGCACTTGGGAGGCAGGGGCAGTAAGATCTCTGTGAGTTCAAGGCCAGCCTGGTCTACATAGTGAGTTCCAGGACAGCTGGGGCTACAGTGAGACCCTGTCTCAAAAAGACCAAAAAAAAAAAAAAAAATCAAGATTGGTTGAGGCCCTAGTCACTACAAGAACTGATGGAGTTTAAACAACACACTCCTGAATAATGAGTAGGTCAAAGGAGAAATTAAGAGAGAAATAAAAGTAGTTGTGGAATTCATTGAAAAGGACAATACAACACAACAAAACCTTTGGGATACTTTAAAAGCAGTCCTAAAAAGGAAGTTTAGAGCTCTACATGCCTACTTTAAAAAAAAATTAGAAAGAGCACAAATGAGTGAACATTGCGACTGAAGACTCTGGAAAGGCAAGAACAAAGAAAATCCAAACCTAGCAGAAGAGAAGAAATATCAAAAATCAGAGCAGAAATTAATGAAATAGAAACAAAGAAAACAATACAAAGAATCAATGAATATAAGAACTGGTTCTTTGAAAAGCCAAACAAGATAGACAAACCTTTAGCCTAGTTAACCAAGAAAGAAAGCATAAATTCAAGTGGACAAACTCAGAGATGAAAGGGGAAACACCACCACAGACACCCAAAAGACCCAGAACATTATAAGGGAATACTTTAAAAACTTACACTGTATTAAATTTGAAAGCCTAAAAGAAATGGACAGATATCTAAAATCATGGGAACCACCAAAGTTAAATCAAGAAGAGATAAACTGTTTAAACAGATCTATAACATAAGGAAATTGAAACAGTAATACAAAACCTCCCAACTAGAAAAGCCCAGGACCAGAGGGGTTTACAGCAAAATTCTACCAGATATTTACAGAAGACCTCCAACCAATACTACTTAAATTATTCAAAATGATAGAAATAGAGGGAGAACTCCCAAATTCCTTCTATAAAGTCAGCATCACTCTAAAACCGAAAACCAGGTAAAGACACAACCAAAAAAGAAAACTATAGACCCATATCCTTAATGAACATAGATGCAAAAATTCACAACAAAATAATTGAAAACAGCATACAGATGTGCATCCAAAAGATCATTCACCATGATCAATTAGGCTTTATTCCAGAGATGCAGGGATGGTTCAGTATATGCAAATCAATAAATGACATCAATTATATAAATGGACTCAGAGACAAAAACCACACTGTCATCTCAAGAGATGCAGAAAAGGCTTTTGACAAAATTCTGCATGCATTCATGATAAAATTTTTACAGGGAATTGGACTGGAGGAAACATGCTTCAACATAATTAAAGCTATATACAACAAACCCACAGCCAACATCATTCTAAATGGAGAAAAACTGGAAGCATTCCCATTAAAATCAGGAACCAGATAAGAATATTTACCATCTCCACTACCTTTCAGTATAGTGCTTGAAATTCTTGCTAGAGCAATAAGACAAAAGAAAGAGCCTAAGGGTACTAATTTGAAAATGAAGAGGTCAAATTATCCCTTTTTGCAGAAGATATGATACCATGGCTAAAAGATCCCAAAAATTACACAAGAAAACACCTAGGACTGATCAATACTTTCAGTAAAGTAGAAGGTTACAAAATCAATCTGGAAATATCAGTAGCCTTTCTATATACCAATAACAAGCAATTGGAGAAAGATACAGGGAAATGCTCCCATTCATAATAGCTGCAAAAAAATAACTGAATAAAATCTGATAATGAAGACAGCTCTTCCTTATAACATTCTTATTAAATTTTCCATAGCTAAGACAAAATTAATTTTAAACTATATAATTTTTCTGTGTACTTTTAAGTAAGAAAAATGATGCTTCTAATATTTTAAGATGCCCTAACTTTGAAATGTGAAAAATACATATGAGAGAATTGACAATAGCAAGACTGCTTTGGAAGCTGCAACAAAATTAAAATGTAACCAGTATAATATTGAATATGTTTATTCAACTACAATACCCAAGAGATTCTAGTCAAAAACAGTTACCGAAAAACATTAGAGATGTTTGTAATTGATACCACAGAAATAAACAAAACTTGGGCAGAAGTTCTATGCATAGAAATGGACATTGTACTCATTTTTATGATAACTTCAAAATACATAAGAATAAACTTAGGAAAAATTATACAACTTCCACAAAGTAAAAGCTATCAACTATCATTGGAAGCATAAAATAAGGTTTGAACAAGTGGAAATGCATGCAAAATTCTTCAATGGAAACTTAATCTGTCAAAATATAAATTCCTACAATAAAATGTACATCTACGCAATTTTTTTAAGTTCCAATAGTCTTGGTTTTGATTTGATCCAGTCTTCCTCATGTGTGAATTAAAAATGAATGCCAGAGAGAAAGTTTACCAAAGAGATAATCATGAGAAAACTAGTTTTGCCATATTCAGAATTTATTAAAATTCTGATATTATCTTTGGAAAATAGTATTGACCTTTCTCATACTTCCCTGCTCCCAGTGATAGGGTTCAGGTCCAGGCACCCCAGACCCAGAAACCATAAGGCCCCTAAGAGGAACTATGTCAGCCAACTCCCAGCCACTGGCAAGCTGACAAATACAGCTCCAGGAACTGGTAACCCAATGCATTGTGATCACCAGACCATGCTCCACAGGCTGACAACCAGGTTTCCCAAGCCCTGTAGCTTCAGTGGGTTCCTGGAACCCTGTAATTGTAGAAAACATGTTTTACAGTAGATGTTTTCCTTGATAAGTTTCACCAGGTAGAGACCCCATGCCCTCCTTGAACAGCCTCCAAACAGCCCCAAAAAGCAGAAAAATATTCTTTTTCTACATTCTTTTCCCTTTGTAAGCTACCCCCCTGCAGCCATTAGATTGCTGGTTTTTACTCACTGCCTAGTTGAGACCCAGCCCCACCAACTCAATAAACTCTCGTTTTGCCAGAGTCCTCTCTGCTTTGCAGCGATCCTGATCCCTGCCACCTTTTTAATTTAACACCTGGTACCTCAGCCCACAGGCTGGCTTGGGCACATAAGATCTGTGCACCCTGAGAACTTCAAGCTTTGTCACACCTGCTATAGTGAGTAGTTCTTTTTCCCACATCTCTGCACTCAACAGTCTCAACTCTTGGGACAATATGCCCCTTGGCTGCCTCCAAACCTACCAGATCACCCAGTCTGAGCTATCGGCTAACCTGGTCACACAGTCAACTCAACTCTGCTGCTTCAGGGCCATGAGGAGTCAATCCTAGAAGACCAACTCAAAAGTTGCACCTATTCCTACCTGAACTGAGACAACTTCTCAGACCATTTCGTTGTGAAGTGGCCGTAAATGCCAGCACCAAACACTACTCAGCTGTACCAAAACCTGACAAGCTAGGGACACAGCAAGCACAGATACAATCAACCATTCAACAAAGACAAGATCACCTACCCGTACCAAGAAACACCACCAACAACACAAATTCAGATGCCTGAGTCTCACTGATAAAACAATATGCAAAACAAGATAATATGTTTACTGCAGAACTTAGTATGCCCATCATAAAGTTTCCTCAGACTGGCAACCTAACACAAAATGATGATTCCAAAAGAGTAATTATAAATATACTCAAGGAACTCAGAGTATGAACAAAAAAGTAATGAAGTCCATGAAAATACAAAGAATTAAATAAAAAACTAAGGCAATTAAAACATGAGATTAGAATTCAAAAAAGAGATGGAATCTCTGAAGAAAAGACAAACGGAAAAAAAGTTAAAATGAAAAACTCAGGAACTCAAACAAAAGGTTAGAAGAAGCAAAAAGAAAGTAAAGAAGCTCTCTCCAACCCACAGGCTTCTCTTTCCGGGGTCCCCAGGAGCACTGCTTCTGGACCTGGCCCTGCCCTCACCTCCCTCTACTTCCCTGGGCCTGCAGAACCAGCAGGCCTCTCTACAACCTTCAGGCTTCTCCCTCTGGGGTAAGTCAATTGGGCCCTCTGTGCCTTGACTCCCCCAGCCTCACTCACCTTTCCATCTCCCCCGTCGGTCTCTCCTCCTAGCCTGGGTCCTGTCCCATTCCTTGTATTGGCACCCCAGACACCTGGGGAACCACCACTGCTTCTTCCTGACCCTGTGCATCCAGAGCAACCGGTCCCCAGGGGT